TACTTTGGGGAAGTGATCAGTATTTTTTTTTTTTACACAATTTGCTCATAGCAAAGAATTACTTTCCTATAAGCAAGCATTTACCTGAATGACATCGATTCATTCAGTCTTTTTTTTTGTGCTTAGCTGTGATTTGGCCACAGCTAATCACATGACATGTGCATGTGACCTGCTGTGACCATTCACAGCTAGGCACTAGTATACAATGGATGGCATGAATGAAGCCATCCATTGTATACAACTGTCATGTGACCTGCTGTGATTGGTCACAGCAGGTCACATGGTACCGGCAATGGGGCCGATACTCAGATCTGTCATCGGCCGTGTCCGAGGTACACGGCCGGTGACAGATCGTGACCGCTGAGCGGCTCTGCAAGCGCGCGAACTGCGCGTATGTGGGAGTACGCCAAATGGCTGCCTCCCGGAAAGCTAGTGCATTTTTCCAGACGCCATACGGCTATTGGCCGGGCGTCAAATGGTTAAAGGGACAGCCTTTAAGAATAACTGAGCCTTCTCAGCAGCTGGGGAGCTGGAGGAGAGTTCAGGTGGAAGATGAGAAACTAAGGCTGAAGAGCAGGAGCCTGGGAGGGGCCCAGATGGAGAGGGGCTCACCTCCAGGCAGGATGTTTGGAAGAAGGAAAGCTTGGGACTTCACCGGCCCTCAGAGAGAAGACCACCTGTGTGGCAGGGAAGGATGGTCCCAGCTAGAAGGCCTGGTAGCAGCCACCGACCCACCATCAGCACAGTAGAAGGAATGAGTGAGTAAACCTACACCCCCCTGGGCCCGATAGGGGAAGGAGCAATCTGGTGGGAAACCAGAGTAGCTTTCTACCTGGGACTGTCTTCTTTTAAAGTGACAGCACTGGATCCCCTGCTCAGGGATTCACCCAGATCGACTGGGTTAGGAGTATTTAGGATCTGAGGTGGTACAACCAGAGATGCTGGATAGTTGTCCGAGAAGAGGATTTTGCTGTAAAAAAAAAACTTGTATATAGTTCCAGGAAGTTGTCCTCAATTTCATAGTTCCATTTGGCATCCCGTACAACCCTAACCTTATCCCAGTTCAAATCCCCTCATAAAACTTCAAAGTTCAAGGACTGGTTACTGTCTCTTTGATGCAAGTTGATGTGGAATTGCATGTTGCCTGGCTGTGCAGGACTATAGGGGGACCCAAAAATTCAAAGAGGGTAGTGCTACAATTAGGTCCACCTGTCCAATTGCCCGGTAACACAAATTGCTAATCAGCCAATCACATGGCAGCAACTCAATGCATTTAGACATCTAGACGTGGTGAAGGCAACTTGCTGAAGTTAAAACTGAGCATCAGAATGGGGAAGAAAGGGAATTTAAGTGACTTTGAATGTGGCATGGTTGTTGGTGCCAGACGGGCTGCTCTGAGTATTTAAAAAACTGCTGATCTCCTGGAATTTTCCCACACAGCCATCTCTAGGGTTTACAGAGAATGGTCCAAAAAACAGAAAAAATATCCAGTGAGCGGCAGTTGTGTGGAGGAAAATGCCTTGTTGGTGTCAGAGGTTAGAGGAGAATGGACAGACTGGTTCCAGATGATAGAAAGACAACAGTAACTCCAATAACCACTCGTTACACCCAAGGTATGCAGAATACCATCTCTGAATGCACAACACATCCAACCTTGAAGCAGATGGGCTACAGCAGCAGAAGACCACACCAGGTGTCACTCCTGTCAGCTAAAAACAGGAACGGAGGCTACAATACGCACAGGATCACCAAAATTGGACAATAGAAGATTGGAGAAAATGTTGCCTGGTCTGATGAGTCTGGATTTCAGATGCAACATTCAGATGGTAGGGTCAGAATTTGGTGTAAACAACATGAAAGCATGGATCCATCCTGCCTTGTATCAATGGTTCAGGCTGGTGGTGGTGGTGTCATGGTGTGGGGGATCCATCCTGCCTTGTATCAATGGTTCAGGCTGGTGGTGGTGGTGTCATGGTGTGGTGGATCCAGCCTGCCTTGTATCAATGGTTCAGGCTGGTGGTGTCATGGTGTGGTGGATCTATCCTGCCTTGTATCAGCGGTTCAGGCTGGTGGTGGTGGGGTCATGGTGTGGGGGATCCATCCTGCCTTGTATCAACGGTTCAGGCTGGTGGTGGTGGGGTCATGGTGTGGGGGAGACTTTCTTGGCATACTTTGGGCCCCTTAGTACCAATTGAGCATTGTTTAAACACCTGAGTATTGTTGCTGACCATGTCCATCCATCTATGACTCCAGTGTCCCCATCTTCTGATGGCCCTTCCAGCAGGATAATGCTCCATGTCAGAAAGCTCAAATCATCTCCAACTGGTTTCTGGAACATGACAATGAGGTCACTGGACTCCAATGGCCTCCACAGTCACCAGATCTCCATCCAATAGAGCTCCTTTGGGATGTGGTGGAACGGGAGATTCCCATCATGGATGTGCAGCCGACAAATCTGCAGCAACTGCGTAATGCTATCATGTCAATATGGAGCAAAATCTCTGAGGAACGTTTCCAAGACCTTGTTGGATCTATGCCACCAAGAATAAAGGCAAAAGGAGGTCCAACCCGGGAACAGCAAGGTGGACCTCATAAAGTATCCGATGAGTGTATAATAAACATCGTTTTTACCTGACAATCATTGTTGTCAATGTGGTTCCCTGAGGGACATCGAATCCCATACGTTATCCATCATGCTATCACAAGGGTCTTCTTATTCCATTACAAGTTCTTAAACTACTTCTGAGAAATGTGATATTAAGATGGAAAGTTCTTTTTTTTTATGTCATTAAGGAGAAAGTCGATGCCATAATCAGAGTGGAAACCCTAACCCAAGGTACATAATATTTACACTCTGTGCAGTATTTGGTTACAACAGTGGCCATGCCTTCATGGGCTTCCTAGATGTCGTCTCCTGAGACACAATAACTGTCAATGTCTGATTCATCAACGATATTGGTACTTAGAAAAGGATTCTGGTCCTCGGCCTGAAGACCCGGCTCCTGCTTAGCTCTGCAAATTCATTCCAGAAGTCTATTTTAAAGTTTAACCCCTCGCCTACCGGGCACTTCTACCCCTTCCTGCCTAACAGACGTTTGTACCCCCTTCCTGCCAACCAGACACTTCTACCCCCTCCCTGCCTAACAGACACTTCTACCCCCTTCCTGCCTACCGGGCACTTCTACCCCCTTCCTGCCTACCGGGCACTTACACCTCCCTCCTGCCCACAGGGCACTTCCACCCCCTTCCTGCCCACAGGGCACTTCTACCCCCTTCCTGCCCACCAGGCACTTCTACCCCCTTCCTGCCTACAGGGCACTTCTACCCCCTTCCTGCCTACCGGGCACTTCTACCCCCTTCCTGCCTACAGGGCACTTCTACACCCTTCCTGCCTACAGGGCACTTCTACCCCCTTCCTGCCCACCGGGCACTTCTACCCCCTTCCTGCCTACAGGGCGCTTCTACCCCCTTCCTGCCTACCGGGGGCTTCTACCCCCTTCCTGCCTACCGGACACTTCTACCCCCTTCCTGCCTACAGGGCACTTCTACCCCCTTCCTGCCTACAGGGCACTTCTACCCCCTTCCTGCCTACAGGGCACTTCTACCCCTTCCTGCCCACCGGGCGCTTCTACCCCCTTCCTGCCTACCGGGCACTTCTCCCCCCTTCCTGCCTACAGGGCACTTCTACCCCCTTCCTGCCTACTGGGCACTTTTACCCCCTTCCTGCCCACCGGGCACTTCTACCCCCTCCTGCCCACCGGGCACTTCTACCCCCTTCCTGCCCACCGGACACTTCTACCCCCTTCCTGCCTACCGGACACTTCTACCCCCTTCCTGCCTACCGGACACTTCTACCCCCTTCCTGCCTACCGGGCACTTCTACCCCCTTCCTGCCTACAGGGCACTTCTACCCCCTTCCTGCCTACAGGGCACTTCTACCCCCTTCCTGACCACCGGGCTCTTCTACCCCCTTCCTGCCCACTGGGCACTTCTAACCCCTTCCTGCCTACAGGGCACTTCTACACCCTTCCTGCCTACTGGGCACTTCTACCCCCTTCCTGCCTACCGGGCATTTCTACCCCCTTCCTGCCTACTGGGCACTTCTAGCCCCTTCCTGCCCACCGGGCACTTCTACCCCCTCCTGCCCACCGGGCACTTCTACCCCCTTCCTGCCCACCGGGCACTTCTACCCCCTTCCTGCCTACGGGCACTTTTACCCCCTTCCTGCCCACCGGGCACTTTTACCCCCTTCCTGCCTACAGGGCACTTTTTACCCCCTTCCTGCCCACCAGACACTTCTACCCCCTTCCTGCCCACTGGGCTCTTCTACCCCCTTCCTGCCTACAGGACACTTCTACCCCCTTCCTGCCTACCGGGCACTTCTACCCCCTTCCTGCCTACAGGACACTTCTACCCCCTTCCTGCCTACCGGGCACTTCTACCCCCTTCCTGCCTACCGGGCACTTCTACCCCCTTCCTGCCTACAGGACACTTCTACCCCCTTCCTGCCTACCGGGCACTTCTACCCCCTTCCTGCCTACCGGGCACTTTTACCCCCTTCCTGCCCCACTGGGCACTTTTACCCCCTTCCTGCCTACAGGGCACTTTTACCCCCTTCCTGCCCACCGGACACTTCTACCCCTTCCTGCCCACTGGGCTCTTCTACCCCCTTCCTGCCTACCGGACACTTCTACCCCCTTCCTGCCTACGGGCACTTCTACCCCCTTCCTGCCCACTGGGCTCTTCTACCCCCCTGCCCACTGGGCTCTTCTACCCCCTTCCTGCCCAGGCCAATTTTCAGCTTTCAGCACTGTCACACTTTGAATGACAATTGCACGGTCATGCAACACTGTACCCATATGACATTTTTATCATTTTTTTGAGACAGATAAAGCTTTATTTTGGTGGTATTTAATCACCTCAGGGATTTTATTTTTTGCTAAACAAACCAAAAACAACTGAAAATTTTGGAAGAAAAAAAAGTTTTTTCTTAGTTTTTGTTATAAAATTTAGTAAATAAGTGATTTTTCTCCTTCACTGATGTGCGCTAATGAGGCTGTAGTGATGGGCACTGATAGGCTACACTGATGGGCACTGATAGGTTGCACTGATGGGCACTGATGAGGAGGCACTGGTAGGTGCCACTGATGGGCATTGACCGGCATCACTGATGGGCATTGAAAGTCAGCACTCATATATGGCACTGATAGGTGGCACTAATAGGTGGCACTGATAGGCGGCACTGACTGGTACTGATAGGCGGCACTGACTGGCACTGCGGCACTGATAGGTGGCACTGCTAGGCACTGATAGGTGGCACTGACTGGCACTGATAGGCGGCACTGACTGGTGGCACTGGTACTGATAGGCGGCACTGACTGCACTGCTAGGCACTGATAGGTGGCACTGACTGGCACTGATAGGTGGCACTGACTGCACTGACTGGCACTGATAGGCGGCACTGATATGCAGCACTGATGGGCACTGATAAGTGGCACTGATGGGTGGCACTGACTGGCATTGATAGGTGGTACTGACTGGCACTGATAGGTGACACTGAAAGGCAGCTCAGATGGGCACTGATATGTGGTATTCATGTGCACTGGTAGACGCTGATATGTGGCACTGATGGGCAATGGCAGGTGGCATGGCTGGGGCTACGCTGATCATCAAGGCACACTGTTCATCAGTGCCCTGATAATCAGTGTACATGTCCTCTCTGAGGAATGCCGATTACCGGCTCTCCGCTCCTCTCCTCTGTCAGCGTGACAGCTCGTGAGGAGAGAAATGCCGATAACCAGCATTTCCCTATTTACATGCGATCAGCTGTGATTGGACACAGCTGATCACATGACCGAGCTGAAGTCTTCGGCTCTTTCCATTGATCGGTGATCCACTATCTCCGAGGGACACAGCTCACCACCAATCGCCGCGCTGCGCGCGCTCCCGGAGCCCCACGCCGGTTAGAGTGGGAGGACGTCATATGACCTCCTCCCAGAACGAGAGAACCGCCTTGCGCCCGCCATTTCCTTATATGGTAGGTGGGAGGCGGTTAAAGAATGATCCCGCTGATCTGAAATGGATCCTCCATCCATAATGGATTCATTATTTTCCGCACCGTCTCTCTCTTTGGGGCATTTGGGGGTGAGCGTGTCATTTAACCTCCTTAGCGGTATTCCCGAGTGTAGCTCGGGGTAACATTTCAGTACCAAAAGCGGTAACCCCCCCCCGAGCTACACTCGGGAATACCTGCGGCGCTGCTCCGGCATTTGTTCTTCACCTACCTTACCCTGCGCTCCCGCGATGTGTCCTCTGCAGCGTCCCCGGCCATCTCCTCCGGCCGATGCCGGCATCTGGCTTCTGTGTCCTGTCCCTGTGACGTCGGGACGTACGGGCGCCGCCGCCGGCGGCGGGAAATTTAAAAATTTTAAAAAATGTCTTTTTTTTTTTTTTTTTACATTTTACATAGTAAAACATTGCTGTTCTCCAACCATTTCACATACATTGTGTCCCGAGTGCTTTGTCCTGCGCCCTGCCTGCATTTTGTCTGTTCTTTCTGCCTGGAAACTGAGAAACGTCCATGGCGTCCAAAAAAGCGTCCCTTTAGGTCAGACGCGGTTTTAGAGCGGCTAGAGAACAGCGATAGTAAATCAGAACCACTTGCAGAATTGAGTGATAATGATTGGTGGGGGAAATTCCTCATCAGACACTGAAAACGATTCTGCGACTGAGCTCAGCGATGGGCCAACTTGGCGCTCTATTTCACATTTCAGTGTTTTTGGTGATTATATTATTGAATTACATTTATTATTATTATTATTTATGATTATTTATTAAATTATAATTTACAATTTCGTGTTTCAAGTTTTATCCTCCCCGGGATGTTTACCAGACTCTTGTCCGGACAGATTTCAGTGAGTTATTCCTAAAAATTACAGCCTACAATAAAAAAAATACATATTTCCATGCAAAAAAAATGTACCGCTTTCAGCACCAAAAATCGGAAAGAATCAGACCGCCGAGGAGGTTAATACAAAGTTACGTGAAGGACGCAGTCCGGCTCACTCTGCCGTTCCCATCTCACACCGGCGGTGATGTTTCCGACATTCACACAAGTCTGAGAAGAACGTTTCACTTCCACTGACATACGGCCCCCCCAGAGCTGAAGAACTCCAGACGCTGGTCCCGGCTTTTATCGCTCCACCATGTACCGCGCAATTAAAGTTCATTTTTAATGTCCGCGAACCGCTTTTCCCTCCTGCTGGAGGAATTCCACAAAGGCTCAAAGGCTAGACGGCCATTTTTCTTTGCTTGTAACATAAGCCGACGACTCGATGATTGGCCGGCTGCCCTCGCAGATATTGATTGGCCACGCAACCTTACCGGGCGTTCTGCAAAGACCAAAGTGGCAATCCGTTTCCATCCGCGCAAAGAAGTCTGACAGCGCGATAACAACTTTAACGCCCTCTGGGCCTTTTTATTACCGACTTGGTGGAAGCTTCATTTCACGGGGTTGGTAAATAATTGTCTCAGCTTAATGGTCGTGTAGTTAAAGAGGTCTCTAACAAGTTTTATACGCCGAAGAAATATGCCCTTCAGTTCTTATTTACACTCACACTCCGCTCTGATGCCAAACCCAGACTTTTCCGGGGAATTTATGTTGGAAGGAAAGAAAAAAAAGGGCAAAGACGGAGCGGCGAGTTAAGTGCTTAATTCGTCTGAATAACAAGTGAGGTGATAGGTCAGCCGAGTGATCTGCCAACAAGACCTTCATGTGTGCGGAGGAGGCGGCACAACTAAATCCCACATTTACCGCCCTTCCAGACGGGCATTTGCCTTTCTTTTTTTGCAGAAATTCTGCAAAACGTTCCTCATTACATATCAAAACGAAGGGGAGTCTGCGGAAGGAGAGGAACTCCTTATATCAGGCGAGGGGCCCGAGCCAACACAGGATGATGTCTGAGCTCTACTTCACATTCTGAAATAGAACTGAGGGCAAAACCTGCTTCTTTTCAGTGTAGAAAGAGTAAGGGGGGGTTAGAACCCCGGGTCATGCTTGTTTTAGATATATGTCCCATTGGGGAGATTGCCCTTCACTTCCTGTACCACAAGCAAAACAGGAAGTGAGAGGAAATCCTTCCAAACCAACAACACACAACATGCATAAAACATAAATACACAGGCATACAACATACATACACAGGCATACAACATACATACAAACATACACAGGCATACAACATACATACACAGGCATACAACAACATACAACATACACAGGCATAAAAACATACATACGCATTGCATACAACATGCATACACATTGCATACAACAGAAATAAAACCAAAAAACAACATACATAACATTGCATACAACAGACATACACCATACACACAACATACATACACATTGCATACAATGTACACACAACATAAATACACAGGCATTCAACATACATACAACATAAATACACAGGCATTCAACATACATACAACATACATACACAGGCATACAACATACATATGCATTGCATACAACATACATACACAGTCATACAACATAACATATGCATTGCATACAACATACATACACATTGCATACAACATAAATACACAGGCATACAACATACATACGCATTGCATACAACATACGTACACAGGCATACAAAAACATACACACATTGCATACAACATACAACACAGTCATACAACATACATATGCATTGCATACAATACAAATAAAAAACACATTGCAAAACAACATACATATACATTGCATACAACATACATACACAGGCAAAACAAACATACATATGCATTGCAAAACAACATGCATACAAATTGCAAAAAAACAGACATACACCAAATACACACAAAAAACAAACACATTGCATACAAAACACAACATAAATACATACACAGGCATACAAATACATACATATTTCAAACAAAAACATACAATTACATACAATGTAAACAAAAAAAAACATACACAAAAAATTCAAAAAACAAAAACAACATACATACACAGGCAAAACAAAAAACAACAAAACAAAAAAAAAAAATCAAAAACACAAAACAACATAAAAAAAATAAAAAAAAACAAACAAAAACAACAAAAAAAAAATACAAAAAACAAAAAAAATCATACAAAATACAAAAACAACATACATTGTACACACAAAATACATACAAAGGCATTCAAAATACATAAACAAACACACAAAAAATAAGCAAAAAAAAAAATAAAACATTGCATACAAAAAATACACAAAAAAAAAACAACATACACACAAAAAAAAAACACAAAAAAAATACATACACATTGCAAAAAAAAACGTACACACAAAAAAAAATACATGGAAAAAACACGGATTCCTCGGTTCCTTTGTCTGTAAAAAAAGCTGCAAAAAATGAATGAATAAACAAAAAAAAAAAAAAAAAAACAAAAGTAAACGTGGCTCAAAAACTGTGCTCAGTCATCAAAAAACACAAAAATGAAAAAAAACTGATCGCTCAAAAAAAAAAAAAAAAAAAAAAAGGAAAAAATCCCCCTAAAAAAAAAATCTAAAATCAAACCCCTTCCAAAAAATCTCCATCATAAAAAAAAAAAAAAAAAAAAAGCAAAAAAAGGCCAAAAGCGCTGTGGGGTGGGGCCCGGGCATAAACAAATCAAAGGGCACAAAAAAATCAAAAAAAAAAAAAAAAAAAATCAAAAAAACACAAAAAAGCAAAAAAAAAAAAAAAAAAAAAAAAAAAAAAATCAAAAAAAGCAAATCAGATGAGGGCAAAAAAAAAAAAATCAAAAAAAAAAAACAAATCAAAAAAGGGCAGCACAAAAAAAAATCAGAAAACAAAAAAAAAAAAAAAAATCAGAAAGGGCAGCAATCAATAACAAAAAAAAAAGCACAAAAAAAAATCAAAAAAAAAAAAAAACAACAAAAAAATCAAAAAAAAAAAAAAAAAAAATTCGTCTGAATAAAAAAAAAAAAAAAAAAAGGTCAAAAAAAAGTCAAATCTAAAAAAAAAGACCTTCATGTGTGCGGAAAAAACAAAAAAAAAACTAAATCCCACAAAAAAAAAGAAAATTTGCCTTTCTTTTTTTGCAGAAATTCTGCAAAACAAACAAAAAAAATCAAAACGAAAAAAAAAAAAGGAAAAAAACTCCTTATATCAAAAGGGGCCCGACAAAAAAAAAAAACAAAAAAAAAAAAAAAAAAAAAAAAAACAAAAAAAAAAACAAAAAAAAAAAAAAAAAGGGCAAAAAAAAAAAAAAAAAAAAGTGTAAAAAGTAAAAAAAAAAAAAAAAAGAACCCCGGGTCAAAAAAAAAATCAAAAAAAAAAAAAGATAATGTCCAAACATTGGGGAGAAAAAAAAAAAAAAAAACTTCCTGTACCAAAAAAAAAAAAAAAAAAAAAAAAAAACAAAAAAAAAAACAACATGCAAAAACAAAATACACAGGCAACAACATACAAAACAAACAAAAAAACAAAAAACAAAAACAAAAAAAAAAACAACACAGGCATACAAAAATACATACGCATTGCAAAACAAAAAAACACATTGCAAAAACAACATACAAAAAACACACAAAAACACATACACATTGCATAAAAATGTACACACAAAATAAATACACAAAAAAAAAATACATAAAAAAAAAAAAATACAACAGGCATTCAAAACAAAAAACAAAACAACATACATACACAACAACAAACATAAAAAACAAAAAACAACAAAAAAATACACAGTCATAAAAAACAAAAAAAACAAAAAAAAAAAACAACATACAAAAAACACATTGCATAAACATACATACACAAAAAAATACAACATAAAAATAAAAAATACAACATAAAACAACTATCAACAAAAAAAAAAACATAAAACATACACATTGCATACAACAACATACAAAAAAAAATAAACATACAAAAAAATTGCAAACAAAAAATACACATTGCATAAAAACATAATAAAAAAAAAAAAACAACAACATACAAACAAAAAAAAACAAAAAAAAAAAAAAAAAAAAACAAAAATGCATACAAAAAAAAAAAACAAACATACACCAACACAAAATATAAAATACACAAAAAATAAAAAAAAAAAAAAAAAATACATAAAAAACAAAAAAAAACAATTTCATAAAAATACATACAAACATAAAAAAACAAAAAAAACATGCACACAGGCATTCAAATACATACAAAAAAAAACACAGGCATTCAAAAAACAAACAAACAAATAAACACACAGGCATATAGCATACACAAAACATACATACACATTGCATACAACGTACACAAACACAAAATACATACACAGGCATACAACATAATACATATTTCAAAAAATACATAACACATTACATACATTGTACACAAAAAATACATACACAGGCATTCAACATACATACAACATACACAAAAACAGGCATATAGCATACACACAACATACATACACATTGCATACAACATACATACACAGGTATACAACATACACACAATATACATACACATTGCATACAACCGCTCACTGCGTCCAATTGAAAAAAGGAAGGGGCCCCTAAGTGACCTATCTACCGGCCCCTTCCCCCAATCTCCATCCACCTGTGTACCCATAGCAGGAAGGCCAGCAGCGCTGTGGGGTGGGGCCCGGGCATAGAGGGGGGAATCAGATGAGGGCAGCATAGGGGGGGAATCAGATGAGGGCAGCACGGGGGGGGAATCAGATGAGGGGCATGGGGGGGGGGGGAATCAAATGAGGGCAGCACGGGGGGGGAATCAGATGAGGGCAGCATGGGGGGGGGGGGAATCAGATGAGGGCAGCACGGGGGGGGAATCAGATGAGGGCAGCACGGGGGGGGGAATCAGATGAGGGCAGCACAGGGGGGGAATCAGATGAGGGCAGCACGGGGGGGGAATCAGATGAGGGCAGCATGGGGGGGGAATCAGATGAGGGCAGCACGGGGGGGGGGATCAGATGAGGGCAGCACAGGGGGGGATCAGATGATGAGGGCAGCACGGGGGGGGAAATCAGATGAGGGCAGCACGGGGGGGGGGGAATCAGATGAGGGCAGCACGGGGGGGGAATCAGAGGAGGGCAGCAACGGGGGGGGAATCAGATGAGGGGGCAGCACGGGGGGGGGAATCAGATGTAAAAGGGCAGCACTGGGGGGGGATCAGATGAGGGCAGCACGCCAAACACTGGGGGGGGGGGGGATCAGATGAGGGCAGCACAGGGGGGGAATCAGATGAGGGCAGCACGGGGGGGGGGGGAATCAGATGAGGGCAGCACGGGGGGGGGAATCAGATGAGGGCAGCACGGGGGGGGAATCAGATGAGGGCAGCACGGGGGGGGAATCAGATGAGGGCAGCACGGGGGGGGGGAATCAGATGGGCAGCACGGGGGGGGAATCAGATGAGGGCAGCACGGGGGGGGAATCAGATGAGGGCAGCATGGGGGGGGGAATCAGATGAGGGCAGCAGAATCACATGAGGGCAGCACGGGGGGGGGAATCAGATGAGGGCAGCACGGGGGGGGGGGGGATCAGATGAGGGCAGCACGGGGGGGGAATCAGATGAGGGCAGCACGGGGGGGGGGGGATCAGATGAGGGCAGCACGGGGGGGGAAATCAGATGAGGGCAGAATCAGATGAGGGCCAGGGGGGGGGGGAATCAGATGAAGCACCTGAGGGGGGGGGGGGCATCAGATGAGGGCAGCACAGGGGGGGGATCAGATGAGGGCAGCACAGGGGGGGAATCAGATGAGGGCAGCACGGGGGGGGAAATCAGATGGGCAGGGGGGGGGAATCAGTGCAGCGGGATGGGAGGACAGTTACAGAATTATACACTGTGAAGCATTATAGGAGGCCCGTGGCACCCCCTATCGGTGGCCCTGCAGACACTTTGTCGGGTGTCGGGCTGTTTTGTTGTGTGTTTTGCCCGTTGTATATGTCAGACGTGTTTTGGGGGCCTAAAGTCTTGTTTTCATTTTTTTTTTAATAATAAACATGTCCTACTTACCCGCTCTGTAATGGTTGTGCACACAGCAGCCCCGACCTGCCTCTTCTCGGGTCCCCCGCCGGCGCTCCTGGCTCCTCCCTCCTGTTGTGTACCCCCATAGCAAGCAGCTCTCCTGATTGGCTCATTGGCCATGACTGACAGCAGCTGGAGCCAATGGGGAGTGAGAGTCCAGACGTGAATACAGGGCTTGTTAACGCGTTTTCTCTTGCTTAATCACGAAGCACGAGATGGTGTGAAACGCGTTAACGAGTCCTGTATTCATGTCCTGGTGTTTTGTGTGTCCTATGGATCAGTACATACACACTATATTCATCTGTCCTCCGGGGTGCGGCTGACCCTTCTTCCTATTGCAACAGGACGGGGGCCATCCCCAAACTCTTCCCACAAAGTTGGGAGCATGAAATTGTCCAAAATGTTGCCTTAAGAGTTCCCTTCACTGGAATTAGGGGGCCAAGCCCAACCCCTGAAAAGCAACCCCCACCATAATCCCCCCTCCACCAAACTTTACACTTGGCACAATGCAGTCAAGCAAGTACCGTTCTCCTGGCCACCGCCAAATCCAGACACGTCCATTGGATTGCCAGACAGAGAAGTGTGATTGGTCACTCCAGAGAACACGCCTCCTCTGCTCTAGAGTCCAGTGGCGGCGTGCTTTACACCACTGCATCCGATGCTTTGCATTGCACTTGGTGATGGAAGGCTTGGATGCAGCTGCTCGGCCATGGAAACCCATTCCATGAAGCTCTCTACGCACTGTTGTTGGGCTCATCTGAAGGCCACACCAAGTTTGGAGGTCTTTAGCTATTGACTCTGCAGACAGTTGGTGACTTCTGCGCACTGTGCGCTTCAGCATGCGCTGACCCCGCCCTGTCATGTGACGTGGCCTACCACTTGGTGGCTGAGTGGCTGTTGTTCCCAGTGGCTTCCACTTTGTTATAATCCCACTAACAGTTGAGCGTGGAATATTTAGTAGCCAGGAAATGTCACGGATGGACTTATTGCCCAGGTGGCCACCTATCACGGGACCACGCTTGGAGTCACTGAGCTCCTGAGAGCGACCCATTCTTTCACCAATGTTTGTAGAAGCCGTCTGCATGCCTAGGGGCTTGATTGTATACACCTGTGTCCATGGAGGGGATTGGAACACCCAAATCACATGATATGGAGGGGATTGGAACACCTGAATCACATGATTGGGAGGGGATTGGAACACCTGAATCACATGATATGGAGGGGATTGGAACACCTGAATCACATGATATGGAGGGGATTGGAACACCTGAATCACATGATATGGAGGGGATTGGAACACCTGAATCACATGATTGGAGGTGATTGGAACACCTGAATCACATGATTGGAGGTGATTGGAGCATCTGAATCACATGATTGGGAGGGGATTGGAACACCTGAATCACATGATTGGGAGGGGATTGGAACACCTGAATCACATGATTGGGAGGGGATTGGAAACACCTGAATCACATGATATGGAGGGGATTAAAAACACCTGAATCACATGATTGGAGGTGATTGGAGCATCTGAATCACATGATTGGGAGGGGATTGGAGCACCTGAATCACATGATTGGGAGGGGATTGGAACACCTGAATCACATGATTGGGAGGGCGGGGCCAATACTTTTGGCAATATAGTGTGTATCTGAAAATCAATCAATCCTGATGTACTGATGACCGATCTCATTTCAATACCCCCCCAAATACCCCTTTATGGAAAGTAGACAGTCTAAGGTATTTAGTATAAGGCATGGCAAGCTTTTTGAAGTTATGATTTTTTTTTTTCAACATTTTTGGGAAAATGAAGTTAGTTATTCAAGTTATTTCTCTGACAATGCAAATGCATACTTTCAATTACACCCCAAACACTAGTCTGCGCCTCCCGAGTTCATGTCTTTTGAAAATTTATTTTTGCCACAAGTGTTTGAAAAATGCAGAATGAAAATAAATGTATTTTTTTACACAAAGTTGTCAATTATTTAAGATATTTCTGAGGCATACTTAGAATTACACCCCAAAACACATTCTATAACTCCTCCCGAGTATGAGGATCTGATATGTTTGAGACCCAAAATCCAGGGGTCTCCCAGGGGTCTCCCAGGGTCTCCAGTGGGTCATTGGGAAAAATGTTCCTTACACTTGGGGTCATTGGGAAGAATTACCGTATTTTCCAGCATATAAGACGACCCCTACTACTTTTTCTGTTTAAAATGTAGTGTTTGGGCTATACTCACCGTATAAGACTACCCCTCTTCCAGTGCACACCAGTGGGAAGATTCGTGCCCCATCATTGGTGTCAGTGGGAAGATTCGTGCCCCATCATTGGTGTCAGTGGGAGGAATAGTGCCCCATCATTGGTGTCAGTGGGAGGAATAGTGCCCCCGTAATTGGTATCAGTGGGAGGAATAGTGCTCCATCATTGGTGTCAGTGGGAGGAATTGTGCCCATTATTGGTGTCAGTGGGAGGAATTGTGCCCCATCATTGGTGTCAGTGGGAGGAATAGTGTCCCATCATTGGTGTCAGTGGGAGGAATAGTGCCCCATCACTGGTGTCACTGGGAGGAATAGTGCCCCATCATTGGTGTCACTGGGAGGAATAGTGCCCCATCATTGGTGTCAATGGAGGGAATAGTGCCCCATCATTGGTGTCAGTGGGAGGAATAGTGCCCCATCATTGGTGTCAGTGGGAGGAATAGTGCCCCATCATTGGTGTCAGTGGGAGGAATAGTGCCCCATCATTGCTATCAGTGGGAGGAATAGTACCCCATCATTGGTGTCAGTGGGAGGAATAGTGCCCCATCACTGGTGTCACTGGGAGGAATAGTGCCCCATCATTGGTATCACTGGGAGGAATAGTGCCCCATCATTGGTGTCAATGGAGGGAATAGCGCCCCATCATTGGTGTCAGTGGGAGGAATATCGCCCCATCATTGGTGTCAGTGGAGGAATAGTGCCCCATCATTGGTGTCAATGGAGGGAATAGTGCCCCATCATTGGTGTCAGTGGGAGGAATAGTGCCCCATCATTGGTGTCAGTGGGAGGAATAGTGCCCCATCATTGGTGTCAGTGGGAGGAATAGTGCCCCATCATTGCTATCAGTGGGAGGAATAGTACCCCATCATTGGTGTCAGTGGGAGGAATAGTGCCCCATCACTTGGTGTCACTGGGAGGAATAGTGCCCCATCATTGGTGTCACTGGGAGGAATAGTGCCCCATCATTGGTGTCAATGGAGGGAATAGTGCCCCATCATTGGTGTCAGTGGGAGGAATATCGCCCCATCATTGGTGTCAGTGGGAGGAATAGTGCCCCATCATTGGTATCAGTGGGAGGAATAGTGCCCCATCATTGGTGTCAGTGGGAGGAATAGTGCCCCATCATTGGTGTCAGTGGGAGGAATAGTGCCCCATCATTGGTGTCAGTGGGATGAATAGTGTCCCATCATTGGTGTCAGTGGGAGGAATAGTGCCCCATCATTGGTGTCAGTGGGAGGAATAGTGCCCCATCATTGGTGTCAGTGGGATGAATAGTGTCCCATCATTGGTGTCAGTGGGAGGAATAGTGCCCCTACATTGGTATCAGTGGGAGGAATAGTGCCCCATCATTAGTATCATTGGGGGGAATAGCACCCCATCATTGGTGTCAGTGGAATAGTGCCCCATCTTTGGTGTCAGTGGGAGGAATAGTATCCCATCATTGGTGTCAGTGGGGGGGGGGGGAGGAATAGTGCCCCATCGTTGATGTCAGTGGGGGGGAGGAATAGTATCCCATCATTGGTGTCAGTGGGAGGAATAGTGCCCCATCATTGGTATCAGTGGGAGGAATAGTGCCCCATCATTGGTGTCAGTGGGAGGAATAGTGCCCCATCATTGGTGTCAGTGGGATGAATAGTGCCCCATCATTGGTGTCAGTGGGAGGAATAGTGCCCCATCATTGGTGTCAGTGGGAGGAATAGTGCCCCATCATTGGTATCAGTGGGAGGAATAGTGCCCCATCATTGGTGTCAGTGGGAGGAATAGTGCCCCATCATTGGTGTCAGTGGGGGGTGGAATAGTGCCCCATCATTGGTGTCAGTGGGGGGGAGGGAATAGTGCCCAATCGTTGGTGTCAGTGGGGAGGGGGGAATAGTGCCCCATCGTTGGTGTCAGTGGGGGGGAGGAATAGTGCCCCATCGTTGGTGTCAGTGGGAGGAATAATGCCCCATCATTGGTATCAGTGACACCAATGATGGGGCACTATTCCTCCCACTGACACTTGCTGACCCCTGTTCCAGTGTGGTGCTGCGGCAGCCAGCATATGTGGTTGCAGCAGCACCTAAGCACGGCACACTTACCTGCATCTCCACTTTTCGCGGGGCCGCTCAGCTCCGCCTCCTCGCCAGTGATTGGCCGCCTGTGTGCCTTTCCTGAGCTACAGTTCTGGCGGCCAATCACCGGTGAGGAGGCGGAGCCGAGCAGCCGCGCGAACATCCAGTGGACGAACCGAAGGAAGGAGCAGCCGCGCTTCCTGGACCGGATCGTCGTGGGACCGGAGCCAGGTAAGAGACAGCAGCCCCTGCCCATCCCTGTACTTAGCGTCCCTTCTGTTGGAAGGGGGGGGCGGCGGCATTGCGCCGCCCCCCTAAAAAGTGTCAGTATGCCCTTACCGGCGTATAAGACGACCCCCCGACTTTTGAGAAGATTTTCAAGGGGTAAAAAGTCGTCTTATACGCCGGAAAATACGGTACGTCCTTACAAATAGCTAAAAAGATCAATGGTGTCAGTGAGAATTTGCTAATCGCTCAAGGAACCCCTAGGAGGACCTCTAGGATTTCATGGAACCCCTGGTTGAGAAACCCTGGTCTGGAGTGATTATACACCGGACATTGTATTTTGTGTATTACACTTATTAACCAATTGTGTCAAAGCCAATGTACTGGAATGGTCACCTCTGTGACCAGGGAATATAGCTTGGTGCAGTGTCACCTCTAGCAGTCCCAGTTACTATACACCTAGCTTAGAAAGCCCAGCCATGAAAGCCTAGCCTACTAGTACAAGGCTACCCCCAGGAATGCCATGTTCACTGGCCAGGAAGTAAAATTCTGGAGAAAGGAAGGACAAAAATATCCCTCTGGTTCCAGGAGTGCCGTTGTTCGCAGGGGAAGTTTGGGACTGGTGTCACGCAGGAATGTATTTAGCAGGATGTACAGAGGGGTCAGTTCAGGCACAGAAAGACACATGGTCAGCAAACAGGCAAAGGATTGGTCCAGGCAGCAGAAAGACACACATGGTCAGCAAACAGGCAAAGGATTGGTCCAGGCAGCAGGCAGAAACATGGTCAACAAACGGGCAAATGATTGGTCCAGGCAGCAGGCAGAAAAAACATGGTCAGCAAACAGGCAAAGGATTGGTCCAGGCAGCAGGCAGAAACATGGTCAACAAACGGGCAAATGATTGGTCCAGGCAGCAGAAAGAAACATGGTCAGCAAACAGGCAAAGGATTGGTCCAGGCAGCAGGCAGAAACATGGTCAACAAACGGGCAAATGATTGGTCCAGGCAGCAGAAAGAAACATGGTCAGCAAACAGGCAAAGGATTGGTCCGGGCAGCAGGCAGAAACATGGTCAACAAACGGGCAAATGATTGGTCCAGGCAGCAGAAAGAAACATGGTCAGCAAACAGGCAAAGAATTGGTCCAGGCAGCATGCAGAAACATGGTCAGCAAACAGGCAAAGAATTGGTCCAGGCAGCATGCAGAAACATGGGGAGCAAACAGGCAAAGGATTGGTCCAGACAGAAGGGAGACACATGGTCAGCAAACAGGCAAAGGATTGGTCCAGACAGAAGGGAGACACATGGTCAGCAAACAGGCAAAGGATTGGTCCAAGCAGAAGGGAGACACATGGTCAGCAAACAGGCAAAGGATTGGTCCAGACAGAAGGGAGACACATGGTCAGCAAACAGGCAAAGGATTGGTCCAGGCAGCAGGCAGAAACATGGTCAACAAACGGGCAAATGATTGGTCCAGGCAGCAGAAAGAAACATGGTCAGCAAACAGGCAAAGGATTGGTCCAGGCAGCAGGCAGAAACATGGTCAACAAACGGGCAAATGATTGGTCCAGGCAGCATGCAGAAACATGGTCAGCAAACAGGCAAAGAATTGGTCCAGGCAGCATGCAGAAACATGGGGAGCAAACAGGCAAAGGATTGGTCCAGACAGAAGGGAGACACATGGTCAGCAAACAGGCAAAGGATTGGTCCAGACAGAAGGGAGACACATGGTCAGCAAACAGGCAAAGGATTGGTCCAGACAGAAGGGAGACACATGGTCAGCAAACAGGCAAAGGATTGGTCCAGGCAGAAGGGAGACACATGGTCAGCAAACAGGCAAAGGATTGGTCCAGGCAGCAGGTAGAAACATGGTCAGACATGGTTAGTGTGGGGATGATCAGGGACAGTGTAACTGGTGTGGCAGCAATCAGGGACACTTGAGTAAGGGCAGATGATTCATGTAGCACTTACTTTCTGGAATCCATCTGCTCTTTGCTCAGGCATGCAGGCAGGAGGGTGTGCTTAGCTGAAAAATAAGCCCCTCCTCCCCTCCTGAAGGCTCCTGGGATGTATGACATCATTTTGGCCTAGGACAGAATGCAGAAAGAAACTGAAGAAATGCAAA